GCCTCTCTCTCTCTCTGTCTCTCTCTGTCTCTCTCTGTCTCTCTCTCTCTCTCTCTCTCTCTCTCTCTCTCTCTCTCCCTCTCCCTCTCTCCCTCTCTCCCTCCCTCCCTCTCTCAAACACTCATGTACCAACCATACCTGTTCATCAAAAACTGATTAACAAATCAGTTGTGTTAAAGCACCTCGTAATGAAATAGTCATGGCTAGATTTTTTTTGTGTGTCAAATCGTCGCTGGATTATAGTCTTTTGCTACACACCTGTATACATATACATACACATACACATATATATACACAAGAGTTTGTCAAAAATGTAATCAACATCTTTTGATTCTATCCTATAAAAACCAATGTGGAATTATGAAATATAAGTACTTCCTGTGTGCTACCATTCTCTATATTCATTTCTAGCAAAGTGTCCCCCCCTTTCCCTGTGGGTCAGTAAACATTTATTGGACATAGAAGACAGTCAGGAAATGTCTAAAGGGACAAAACTTTATATAAAACTGCTTTTTTCTGTGTTATCAACTATAGAATATCTCTGAGCCTTTTCCTTCTTCTTAGAAATAAAAGTTAAAAAAAAAAAAGAAGAAGGTGGACTAGGAAGGTAAAAAGAGATAATCTAGGTTTTGATAAATGATTCATTTCTCCTTCCAAAGCTGTCAAAGCCTAGGTTTTATTTCCTTTGCTGGAGACAAAACAATCTCTATACTTCTGACTCTGGCAAGTCTATACGGTGGTAGAAGGGCGGATAAACGCATGGATGTCTTCCTTCAATAGACTTGAAGTATTTTCACTTTTGAAAACTATTTGTAAAAGTAAAAAAACCCCTCACATTGTACCACATTGTCCATGGGACACAAATATACTGTCCTTAGTTCCTCATTGTTATCTTAGCTATAAGGAACAAACGTTTAGCGAGCATTTTCTCCCCCTGCTGGCCAGTATGTAACACTACATTATATTGAAAAGAGTGACCAACTATTAAACTGGATGCTCAGACAATCTCAGGCCTGATGTTACTTGCTTGGTGTATGCTATGCATTTTTATTAACTTCATCGCCAACATTTGTCTAATTGAAAAACTATTAGTTACAGGTCTGTTGTGGTCAGTCACTTGCTGATTTTCAGGCCTGAAGTGGACCCTTCGTGCTATCTGTTGGCTTCATCTTTCTCCAGCTGAGTTTGCAACACACACACACACACACACACACACACACACACACAGCTCTTTCACTTAACAGAGTAAACTGAAGTCCAAACTTTCTCAAAATCATAATTTAAAAATGACATGATAGATCAAATTTAAACCTCCAAATTTCATTCAACAGATGACTGTTAAACTTACTCCCTTAAGCAAATCTTTATCTATGCATGAGTGTTTTGCCTGCATGTGCGCCTGCGCACCACCGGCAATGCAGCGCCTTCAGAAGCAAGAAAAAGGAGTCAGCTTCCCTGCTGCTTGGAGTTCCAGGCAGTTGTGAACCACTGTCATGTGGGTGCTGGGAACTGACCCAGGTTCTCTGCAAGAGCAGCCAGGGTTAACCAGTGAACCATCTCTGCAGCCCCACATTTATTTACTGAGCCGAGTATTTTAGTACCTACTGCAGTCAGACACAAAGCAAAGATAATAGCGTCTACAAGATAAAAATGGGGCAAATCAGAGTTTCCAGTTAGTGAGACAGACTGGATGAAAGAAGGGACGGAAGCTATGGTAATGGCTCATAGATACAGGTTAAATAGTACAGACATTCAACCTAAGAAAAAGCATAAATCAAAATAGTATGCATGATATGAAATGCTCAGAGAAAATTAATATTTATTCATCTATCTATATGAGTGCTCTATCTGTACATATGCCTGAATGATGGAAGAGGGCATCAGATTCCATTACAGATGGTTGTGAGTCACTATGTGGGTGCTGGGAATTCAGGACCTCTGGAAGAGTGGCCAGTGTTCTTAACTGTTGAGCCATCTCTAAAACCCTTGAAATGGTCAAAATTTAACAAAATATTGTATTTATAAAAGAAAGAAGTGTGGCTGGAGAGACGGTTCATCAGATAAGAGTCTCGTGGAGGACCTGGATTCACTTCCCAGTATCAACACGGCAGCTCACAACCATCAGTGACTGTAGTTCCAAGGGACATGGCACCTTCTTCTACCCTTTACAGATACCAGGCATGAACGTGGTGCACATACATACAGGCATGCAAAACAACCAGACACATGCAAAAAATAAAAAATAAGTAAATCCCGTTTTTTTAAGGAAAAAAAGAAAGCAAGTTCTTTGTATTCTCCATCCCTAATGCTTAGAACAAAACCAGTCAGTTTACATCTAGAGTATAGACACTAAAACACTGGAGGTCTGTAAATCATGCAAAAAAACGTGTCGTAAATCTCAAGTAGGAAACAGTAGAAACTGCGCCAACAAAATAGCTCATTGGGGTAAAGGCACTTGGCATGCAAGCCTGGTGACCCATGCAAGTCTGGTCCCTGGAGCCAGTGTAGACGTAGGAGAAAACCAGCTACATAAAGCTATTCTGGCCGGGCGGTGGTGGCGCACGCCTTTAATCCCAGCACTTGGGAGGCAGAGGCAGGCGGATTTCTGAGTTCGAGAGTTCGAGGCCAGCCTGGTCTACAGAGTGAGTTCCAGGACAGCCAGGGCTACACAGAGAAACCCTGTCTCGAAAAAAACAAAAAACAATAAATAAATAAATAAATAAATAAATAAATAAATAAAATAAAGCTATTCTGACTTCCATATGTGCACTGTGGCATATGCTCTTGTGTGCACATGCATACAAGCAACATATACACAAGTTTTTATTTTTAATTGTCTGCATGTATTAGTAACTCTTAATTTTTTTTAAATGTGTTTCTCTGAATTTTCCAGACATGTTGCAACATGCACTATTTTCTATGATAGAAAATATATTACTTTTTTACTTATCATATATAAACCATAGGTTCAATAAGATAGGACAATGTCATCACAAGCGGTACAAAAACCCACGTTGACATGGACCAGAGATTTAAAGCTAAAAGTATAGAAGATGCAGGAGAAAGCTTCTAAAACTTCACCATCAAGAAATGTCTTAGGAAACAAAAGTAAAACCACAAATGGAAAACAATGGTACTAAACTGGGCTTTATCTGAATTCAAAACTTTCACTCTTCCAAATACTGTGTTAAACTAAATGGAGGCTGGGTGTGATGGTGCATAGCAGGGGGCCCTGGAGTGCCAGGCCAGACTGGGTTACAGAGAGTTCAAGGTCAGACTGGCTACATAATGAGACCATGTCTCTTCTCCAGAAAGGGAAAAGGATACATTATATTCATAATACAAACGCTCTCAATCAAAGACAGGCACTCACCTCCCCCTGTTGGATGGACTTCAATACCACTGTAGAGTCTTCTCACCTTTAGCCTACCTACCCTCCATGGGTCAACTAGAGTCAAATTTTAAAAAGATTGGATTGCATTTGAGCACCTAAAATCTTTTTATAGCTTCTTGGTGTGTCTGGAATTAAGTCTACACCCCTTTCTTTGGCAGAAGGCTGCATGCCCACCCCCACAGCAACATTCCATCCCTAGCAGCCCAGCCATGCCCTGATCATCAGAGCAGTCACCTCCCTTTTCTTGTTCATCCCCCTTGTGTGGCTAGTGTTCTAGGCACCTCCAATGCTACACTGTTGGCACTGACTTGCTTGGTCTCCCCGCCACGGTGTGGTAAGGTAATGAACCTTCTGCTTTGGTCAATGGTAAGCGCACAGTACTAGGAACACAGATATTTCCTAAGTATTTTGAACAACTCATGGCGGACTTATGATGGGTGGGTACTGGCTTAAGTGTTCGCTCAAAGACATTTGCATACTTGTTACCCTTTATTCCCTTCAGAAACAATTTCTATAGTCCTAGATCCACTGAAATACCTCAGAACTCCTTGGTATTCCCTGAAGTTGAGTATCCTTTCAGGCAAATTACGAACTCTAGATTTCATGTAAATCTCAGGCCAGTGTTTGAGCCTTAGTGACAGGTTTTTGTTGTTGCTGCTGTTTGTTAAGAACCCAACCTCACAATGGCTAAAGAAAAAGTGAAAGGCTAGAAGACAACCAGAATGCTCACATACTTCAAGTGTAAATTACTTCCAGTATTTTGGAATACTATTGTCTAAAGAAGTGAATATGTACGTTCCCTACAATCTACTAGGCTCTATACCTGCAAATATATGCTGTGTATACTGCGTGTGTTCTCCAAAAGATGGACAATAACATTCACAGCAACAATATTCCAAATAACTAAAAAGGGCAAACTTATTCAAACGACCATCAACAAGACCAGTATATACAAACAAAAGAATTCTATAGAGCCATGAGCATGAATGTAATGATGTATCATTTGGAAGACTCTCACCAACAAAACATTGAAAGAAGCGCATCAAAAGTCCCTACTCAACTGTTCTACTCTAAGGAACGCTGTCCCACAAACCTGCCTGCAGATCTGTGTCTGAAGTTAAGGACTGGAGAATAAGATGCCATTTGAGAAGTTAACTGGAACTGACTTGGGGCAACCACACTTTTTCAAAGTCCTATGTTGTACTTTTCAAAAACCATGACTTCCCTGTTCTCCAACCATGGATACCAAACAGAATACTTCCCTCAAAAATATTTGAGAAAAATCAAAATTTCAAGAATGGGCCATGGCCATGCTGTGGTTTCAGTTGTTTCTGGCACACTGCACCAGATGACAGTTCATAAAGAAAGGTGGGGAGATGACTCATGTGGTTGGCCTGGCTCTATCCAGATGCACACTGGCTAGCAGCCAGACTTTGGGCAAGTCTCACAAACAAGTTGTACTGTGTCCTCCTCACCTAACAAAATTCCTAACCCAAGGTGGCTCTGTGCATCCAATGAAATGTCAGTGATGAGGTAACTGGGCAATGCCAATCTTTCCCACCACTACCCTTAAGAAGTACTGGAGTGAAAAAAAGTCAGCAAGCTGTTTGCTGCAATATATATATTTTAATTCAAAGTGAATCAACAGTAATACACCATAAATTCTTATTTTGACACTCACCAAAATAGTCACCTGGAAAACCCGCTTTTTGTGACAAAGTACAGAAGGCTTGGTCACATTTAAATCACTGAGAACTAGAGAGAAATACTATCGCAAACTGTAATACACATTACATCCATAAAAGTTTTCCCAGTCCTTATTGTAATATTGCACAGTGCAATTGCTACATGGCAAACTAGTGTAGCATAGAAGTCAAAGCAAAAACAAACCAAAGAAAGAAGCCACAAGAGTAAAACTGTTCAACAGTTAATAGTTCAAACTAGGTCATTGAATCTATCATTGGGATCATTAAAATGAATCTTCCTACACCTTGCAGTGTATGATTTAACTTTTACAGAACACAAGCCAAGTTTAAAATCAGCAGTAGAGATATTAAGATGAAAGGTTTGCTAATAGAGTAACATATTAAATACCCTGAAAGGAAAAAAAAACCTAAATATCAAAATAATTGATTAAAAATTCACTTGCAAATTAGCACACAAATATGCAACTTGGAAATCATGCAGTGTTTTATTTAAGAAAACATTAAAACAAAACTATTAAAATAGTTTTAGAGGGGGTAAAATCCAGGTCCTTCTGCCAGTATGCTAAAATCAGACTTCAGGGGGATTTTGAAGTCTTAAATTTTGAAACACATTAAAAAGCCGATGATTACAGTTAATTAAGAGCAGTGCACTTAACAGTGGCATGCCTTTAAAAAGCATTACTGTGGTGTGAAAATGTTGACTGTTACCACCTACAGTCAATTTAACAAGGCTGCTCCAGTCATGAACTTAATACAAAAAGGGCACCATCCTCGGCAGAGCGCAGCTTGCCAGACCACCTCCTCCCTGTTGTGACACCACCAATCTGTGTACTCGGTGTTTCTTAAACATCCGTCGCCAGCACTCAATCTTTTCCAAGAAGTGAGCAGACACCTTAGCCCCTACAGCTCACATGACAGGGCTGTGGTGGGCAGCAGCTACTTAGTGACTTGTCGTCTGTAAATAGTCTTAAGTTAATCTCAGTCTACTCCTTTTTGTAATGTGTGTTATATATATTTCTATTTATATAAAATGCATAGAATCAATTACTAAAAACACTGAGACCTGTGGGGAAATCAAGTCCTTCATTTTCAGTGACTAAAAATGTGCTGCTGGTTTTTACTTTATGATCTAATACTGTAATTTTTAAAATCAACTTCAGGCACGTTTATGTCATGGATGATTATTAAATAAAACACTGCTTGTGTCAATGGAGTAAAGAAAACTGTATCACTGTTAGCTTATCAGCGTGTACTAGGGTTGTACTTGTGGTGTGCCACTTGCTTAATAAGAAAATGCTGTCAATCCAAAACATTTGGAGTTTTACACTCAAATGTTCTGTACTGTTTATTCCAGTAAATGCTGTAAGATTATATTCCAGACTTTTAAGGAAAAAAAAAGTTAAGTCAAGCCTGCAAGATACAGCTTTCTCACGTGTCTACAATGCCAGTATGAAAATAAAAAAATTAAGTTACATTGATACATCCAAGTTTTTATATGCAGTGATGAGCACAAACATTAATAGAGATAAAATACTGATGCAAATAACACACCCCAAAATAACATAGGCAATCATTTCCATCATTTACAATACAGTAGTTACAATGACACTCCAAACAGAAAAGCAAAGTAAAAAAAATCAAAACCCCAGCTTCTATCTTGTGTAATTAGACTTATACAGAAATTAGAAAGCTAAAGAACAACTAGTTAATCACCTAATTTCACAGCTATCTCAAGTGGCAATCGTTATATAGCAGCTTATCTATGATACATTCAAGATAAATGATACAATTTATTACTTGCCTGTAAGCTAAAACACAGCCTTGGTTTAATACCTTTCCTTAAATTCCACCTCTACACTACAATATACTTGAGGTCTATGCAAAAAGTAGCTACCTTTTATATAAGAAATGGATGATTAAGTCTTTGGTGCTGTAAAAGCAACTTCATTTAAACATCACCACCATCACCACCAAGGGGAGAGGGGGAGGGAAAAACCCAATACACACTTCCTAAGAGAAAAAGCATGTAATTTCTGTCCCTGACGGAATGTATTAAATAAGCAAACACCACCAACAAGCAAAAACGAGTACTACAATGTAAAAATACTTAAAAATAACCAAAAACCAAAAACCTTCTCACATGCATAAATGAAAAATTGCACACAAAGAACTCACATCTTTTCAAGCTTCAATAGTAAATATTCTGCTACTATGTGTTAAATACTGCATGGTCTGCCCAAGCACGAAGGGAGCACATCAGGAGTCGAAGAACATTTGCATTTTCTTCCATTATCTACTCAAGTCATGCCTACTGCACCCTAAACATTTTATCAAGTCCAATTATACAGCAAACACTCCCAAAATAAACTTAGGTTGTATTGCAGTTTCACTTAATAGTATATAAAATGCTGTGCTGTGACAGATATCAACTACCCATTAGTTACTGAATCAAGTTTTCTTAAGCACTACTAACTGCTTGCTTTTCTTGAAGCTAGATCATTCTGAAAAAAATCAGACAGCAGAATTCAGCTATAGCAATCATGCTGCCCTCTTAATAAGGAAAAAGCAGCTACTATCTGAAATCATACCACACAAAACCAAAAGGAACATTACTCTACTGAAAGAAAACTAAAGAGTAGGTCTGAATTTTAAGTGCTGCAGTCCAACATTTACAGATAGGTAATAACTTCAACAACCTCAAATATTTAAGGCACTATGTGTGGGAACGGTTTACAATGCAGCTGAGATTATTACAACAACATTAAGAGCCAAGTCTAGGCAACGTTTTGCCCATGCAAAAGACACATGCAAATGTAAAGAACAGTAGCTCAATTGCTTAGGTTAAGTGCCCCAACATGTACACAGTAAGACACAGACGATACAACTCACTCATATGCTGTAATTCTGACACATGTGCATCTGTTACTCTAAGTCTAGACACAGAATGGCTTCCCAAATGTGGACGTGTCTTGCACTAGTTAGAAGGCAATTTTATAAAAAATAGCAGGAGCAAAACTGGACTTTTGCTCCCATAAGTCACCTGTCTATAGAGTTACTACATAAGAAGATACATGACCAAAGACAAGTTATACCAAATGTGCAAAACACATTAAAAGTGAGTTTTTTTAAAGCTCAAAGTTGTTTAAATTGCACCCAAGTCTACATGATTCAAAAATAATTTTCTTGTGCCATGGCTAATATTTATTAAATACCATGTTTTTATTTTTAATCAAACATTTGTATCATTGAGCTTCCTCAATAGACTGCTTTCGAGTTTTCACATATATGGATACTGGCTGAGTTTGGTTGGACTCAATGGAAATCCAGTATATGCAGGTGATGCTGCAATGTAAGAATGTGGAGGGAAGATTGCTTTGTACTGAGTCTGATGAATGGTTGGGGATGGTAACAGGCGGGGGTTTATGCCCACTGGGACTTGGTGAACTATGCCACTGGGATGGGAGATATTGTAAGTTGGATGCTGTAACATAGGTCTTGAGGTACACGGAGAGGCTAGGAGGTGGGCCACGGGTGCAGCACTACTGAGGGCAGCTGAAGATGGGTATGGAAGCAGAGTATGCTGTCCTCCGAGGTGCGTGCTTCCAGCCAGATGGGCATGTACTGCTGTGTGGTTGGGACTTCCATGAGAAAGAGTGAATGGATTACTGGTAACACTAGTAGGAATATATGCTTGCTGTCTTCGATGCCCAAAGTTTCCATTCCATTCTTGATGCCCAGTTCCGAAATGCTGAACCTAATCACAAAGAAAAACATGACTGAACAGCACATTTTGTAAGATCAAAGTAAAGATGAAAAGGACTGTGACTGGCAGCTCACACTGGATCTCAGAGTCATGTTTACTCGGAAAAGAAAGCACACTAACATCTTCCTGTTTCCTACAAATCGTTACCAGCTAGCACTACTATCCCAGTTATTAATCTCTACAATTTATATAGCATTTATGCAAAGCTAACATTCACACATACAATTTTGTTAAATTCCAAAACAATCCCATAACATAATTTTCCCCATTATCTCTGCTCAAAATTCACACATAACCACACACATACACAAAATTAAAAACTAAACTACTAAAGGAAAAGAAACTAAACTGTTGAGTGTAAATGTAAATCCCCAAGAGCTCATGCACGCACACACACACACACACACACACACACACACACACACACACAGGGAGCACACCTGGCTCAGGTTCAGATGCTGCTGCGGGAATGCTGATGTTGGCTTTTGCTGACGAGCGCCCGAGGCAGAAGGCTGGTGTGGCTTTCCAGGGGCAGGCTGGCCTTTTCTCAATGGCTGGCATGTAGAATCTGGCAACAATAACCACCACACACACAGAATTACAGAGCTGTGGTTTCTGCTCTTCTAATGAAAATTAGACATGTGCTTACAGATTTTACATACAATAATCGAAGAACCTTCATTTTTAATTTAAAAAGAAAAGTCGTGGCCTCTAAACATTAGATAACATTTGGAGAGATTTTTTTCCCCCTGTGTAATAAACATGACAAGTTCAAGATGGAAATTAAAAGATGACTTTTGACAATCCTGGTCTCTGGTTTTCCCAACTTCAGACCTTCAAAGACCAAACAGAGAAGTAAGTTTTACCTGTGTTCGCCATATGTGCATCGACACTCAGTCCACTTTCTATTCCCACTGGTGGCTCCACTGCAGTTCCAACAGCTGGCTTGGCTTCTGTGCCAGCACAAGTCCCCAGCTCTGTGTTGTGATGCGTATCCTCCACAAAACTGCTCTCTGCAAACGGACTGTCATGCCCCGAGGAGTCTGACGTTGGAGATCCGTCCACAGTCTCACACCCACTTTCTTGTTCATCATCTGACATACTGTAAGAAATGTTTGATAAATAGTTCATATTTTAAAATATTTTATATTTTCCACAATTAATGTCAATTAGTAGTTTCCAGAACACTAATGAGATGCTATATATATATAGTATATTATTATAATATATTATTATATGTTATAACATATAATAATATATATTAAATAATATATAATGATAAATGAATTTATTTATTTATTTATTTATTTATTATTGGACACTTTACCCAAAGAATTTCCAGACTATTCAGACTGATAAACCAAATTCTACTTCAGAAATACCCTTTTAAACTATTTCTTCTTTCTTTCACATTTGCTGAACCATAATAGTTCATAAAGTTCTTGTTAATTCTTCACGACAAGAAGTTCTGTTCTAGGGGCTAGAAAGATATCCCAGCTGGCAAAATAGTTGCTGTGCAAATATGCAAACCTGAGTTTGGATCCTAGCACCCACATTAAAAACCTCCACCCAACAATGTGCAAGTGCAATCCACACGTTAGGGAGGTTGAGACAGGAGAAACCTGGAGCTTTGCTGGCCACTAGTCTAGCAAATAAGTGAATTCTAGGTTCAGTGAGAGATCCAAAAATATGTTGGACAGCAACTGAAGAAGACACCCATCACTGGCCTTGAGTCTCCAGAGGCACGTGCACAAATGTCTATGCACATACAAACACATATAAACAAAAACAGAAACAAACAAAAGTACTATTCTAGATATTTAGACGATATATACAAACATGTGAACTAGGTAGGGACTTCTTTATTTCAGATCCAACTGAAGAGTAGGATCTGTATCCTCCTGAAAGGGCTTTCTGACCAACCTGCAGCTACCTCAAAGTCCTGAACCCTTCTTCCCACCATCTCAGCCCTCCCTCCCTGGGACTGCCATATAATTGACTGTTTTCATCATTCATTCCAGTCTTAATAATTATTTGGAGCATCTCTTTTTATGTGTATATTTTCTTTTTACTCTTACACCTACATGTATATATTCATGGTTAGGACCATTTTATGTGTGTATTTTTATATGACTGTTATGTGTAATTTGTGTGTATCAACTTCCAAGGGATGTACAGGAAGATGCAGTAGAACTTATTTAGGTCTCTGCAGAGCCTGGGCCAGTAAATACTCCAACCACAGGCCCTAACTAAAAGAAAGGTATAAAACTGACTTTAAATTCCTTTTCAAATATTGTCACCAGTTTTTATAATGTAAAATCAAACATATTCCAAAAAAATTGTTGTGGCTTATCTCTCAATATGTTAGCACATTGTGATAGTTAGGAAATACTATTTTAGGCAATGCATGTTTCCTCAAGGCAATACCAAAGGAGGCAGACAATTCAACTACCAACAGTAGAGATAAAAGTCAGAGTGGCTACTCTCTAGGTAGCGGGCCACTGAGTGCTTCATCATGAAAAAATATATTAGGACTTTAACTTGTAAAATAAAGGTTTGGTTTGTTTGTTTGTTTGTTTGTTTGTTTGTCGGTCTGTTTGTTTGTTGAGATAGGGTCTTACTATATAGCCCTGGAAGTCTTTGATCTCAGAGATCACTTGCCTCTGCCTCCCCAATTCTGGGATTAGAGGCATGTGTCACCACAGATCAGAGCTAGTTTTTAATGAAAAAAAAAAAAAAAACTAAAATCACAAGCTTATCAAACTGATGTCATTCAAAACCTGTGTGTAAAATAGCAATCACTGTAGTGAATGGCAGACACTACTTTATACATGACAAAAGAAATCCAGCTTTTAGCAGACTTGACATTTATGACAAGCATCTATTAAATTATTTTACCTGTTCGGTCTTTTGCAAGGGGACGGGCTGGACTGCCCTGAGGAGCTGGTGCTCAGAGTGCTATCAGGACTGCTGAGTGAACACATCCGATCAATATTCAAAGTGCTTTGGCAAGCTTCACAATCTAGACTACCTTTACACCTAGTGATAAGGGAGGGGAAAGAAACATGGGGCAAAGTGAGAGGACATTCTCAAACCAGCCAAATACTATAGGCAGTTAACAGTTCAGAATCAGCTGCTCACAGCCCAAAGGTACAGCTTATAAATTCAGATAAAAGGCTGTAATTAATCTATTCCAGAAGACACAGACAAAGAGCAGGTCACAAAAACTGGGTTTTTTTTCTGCACTTGGGAAGAGGCTCCCACTGTCTGTGAGGACTGTGCATCTGGCACTTACTCTTGGAGGGAAGGCCTGGGTGAGGTCTCTTCGTCATCAGTGTCACTGCTAATGGTGATCACACTCACGGCAGGACTTGGGGAGTCCGCGATGATGATGGTTTGCCGCTGTTTGTCTGAAACTGAAGAATCCTGTCTGACGGATGTTTCATGGCAAGTTCTTGTCTCTCCTTCTGAGGTATGATTGTCCTGTGTTTCTACACAACTTACTTCTTCAACCTCTTTCCCATTGATTATCTTTGGAGAAATAAATGCTGAATGTGGGATATTGGTGTTCTGCAATGAATTACTCCTGCAACCAAAGAAATAATTAGTAATCTCTGTAGTCACAATAGAGAAACCATATTTCTTGAAAATATTTTGTCAAACCAAACAATGCAAACTTGGTTCATGGATTTAACATACTGGTTTATCAAAGAGTTCTGTGAATTATAAAATAGTATCTCTGAAATATTGCTGTAGTTTGCATTCACATACTTTTGCTGTATATGTGATATCCAAATGTCTACAGTTGCTATATCACAGGTAGATAATAAGTCATAAGTCAAAAGGTCAATAAAGACAGTCTCACCAATGAAAAGCACTTATCTCCTCTCTCCCTGGCTCCTATTCCTTTAGTTTTACCAAAATACCTCTGAGCAATTGAGAAGGGACCCAGCTTAGTGTTTGTGTCCGAGCTACAAAAGAGGCCATTTTTGAACACAACAGAGTGACCCTTTGGTGTACATGCAAATTTTATTTTAAAATCTAATTTCAAAATGCAGAAGAAAATGAATACCAACCTGTTCTGGCACAGCTTATTTTTCTTGGTAGTGGCAGGCTGAGGCCAGACAACATGTGCAATACCCACGCTGATAGGTTGAGGGGCCGATAATGTTATCTGGTTGGTTAGAAGAGGCGGTGGCATCACCGAGTTGTAATGATTGCTGTGTGGAATCATTTTCCTATGGAGCAAGTTTAGAAAATTGAATCTCCTTTATACTGGGGTCTGTTTTGCAGATTATTCATAGAGAAGTTCTTCTATTTTGGACTTACCCCCAGTCTCCAAGCCTCTGTGAACCAGCCATGCCTTCAGAAGTTAGTGTTGCTGCAGCAGGAGCCATGGGTGTTACCTGCTGCCAGGCAGGTATTAGCATCTGCTGTGTTCGACCAGACCATGTCTGCTGCATCAAAAAATAGCCCAAAGTTACAAATATGCATCCCAAATTCAAAAAAGTTACTAGTAATTAAAAAACTAGTAATTACAAAAGCTAAATGACATAGCCTGCAAGAAAAGACTGAATTCTTCACTGGATCCTTCCATTACTTCCCAGAAGTACCGGCTGACATGTGACTTGTATTTATGTTAAAGAAGGAGAGCACAAACATAAAAGAATAAATTGTGACCAACCTGTGAAAGGACTCCAGGTCGGATCTGCAGAGGCTGCACAGCTGGGGCCTGAGTTACAAGCGGAACTGTGTTGTCTACCCTTATGGAATAACTGCTGGGTTTACCATGTGCTGCAGGAATTCCTAGGAAACACAACAGTCACCCAAGAGGAGAAAAAATTCTCTTGCATAATTTAAAACATTATTTTAAATGAATAAGTGGTTTAAATTTTGATTCAGATTACGTCTACTTTTACATAAGAATAATTAACAAAATGATCTATTAGTAAAGGTATTTCCTATCTTGTGATATTTTGTCTCAAATACTGATACCAAAATATTCCACCCTTTAAAAACTGTGTCAAGCATTTCTCTGTATCTTCTCTATCCCCTTCACCTTTTTTAGTCAAACTCAATAGTTGGTTCAGATAAAAATTTTTAGTGCAGTTAAGAAAAATAATTGATTAGAATTGCTTTACTATTTGAAGAGCTAAATATGGCAGAACCTGTGACATCCCAGCACTGTGTGGTGGATCTAGGCAGTGGGGCTGCAAGTGTAAGGCTGCCCTGGGCTATGCAAAGCCAGACAATGTCTCCAAATGCAAAAGCAAATCCAACAGACAAACAAAAGAACCAAATACTTAAGAGTTTCTAGAGATGCTAAGACCATGTCTAGGGCAGACACTACATTTAAGCTATTAATATATTTATTAACAAATGTACAAAGTTATTCTTTAACAATTATAAGTCAAATTTAAAAAAAAAAAGCCTTGTCCTGTCATTCTGAAATTTATCTCCTGTCTCTTACTTCATGCTATATATAGAAGATAGGCTCTGAAAAGCACTGCTGCTCCATGTCTGCATAAAATACTGCAGTGCGTGTGGGAAGCGTGTCACTGCCTTGACAAAAGAGCAAGAGTCTGTCAGAACCAAAGAATCTACTCACCAGCATAGACTGTAAGAATACCTAAGCAAAAAGCCATGAAGTATCGGCTCACTTTCATATTCCATGTGCAGACAGCACAACATGGTAAGATATTAGCACTCACTGAATCTAAAGTGGAAGACACAGTCCTTCAACTATCTCAAGATTGAAATTTTATTTTTATTTCTTAAACAAAGTCTGCTTGAAATTCCTCTACTTAAAAACAAACAAATGTGCAGAGCAGTGGTAGTGCACACCTGCAGTCCAGCACTCAGGACGAGGGGCAGGTGGTCTACAGAGCCTGGTCTACAGAGTAGTGAGTTCTAAGACAGCCAGGTACACAGAGACACCTCATCTCGAAAACAAAAAAGAAAACAAACACAACAGTATTTCTAAGCATGCTAGCAACTTATGATGTAAGCATTTTTATTACCAGAAAGCTGTTACTTTTTAAAATGTGTTGTATATAAATATACGTTGCAAATAAATGTAGTATAAATGTGTTGTAAATAAATATGCATATGTGAGTATGTATGTATGTGATATCATATTGTGGTACATCATGTGACAACATTTAGGTCAAGAGCCGCCCACAGCAGCAGTGCCCTCTTAAGACTGTATCACTGGAGCTACGGATGCAGCTCTATGATAGAGACCTTGCCTAGCATTTACACACAATACCCTAAGTTCAATCCAAGAGTGCAGGAATGGAGGTTAATATATTCCTTAGTGGCATAATGACCAGCTTAGTGAGTACACTCTGATTTCATAGTAAACCTAGCAACATCATTTCTCAGCATTTAGTACCTATTACCTATTACATGACTGAGTATAAATGTTCCAAAAGGAAAGCTACATGAAAGAATAACCAGCTAACACTGGTTATTCTTAACTGATTATTATTATAACTGGTTATTAACACCGATCTGTTATTAGTCAATCAATATAATTCTTGGTGCTTTGTATGGGAGATGTTAAAATAAACTTTAAAAGATTATTCAATTTTAAGGCAAAATAAAATTTTCAAATAACCACCTGAATCAACAAATCAGAGCTAGGAATAACCATGATATCAGCTATCCAGTCTATCTTCCTTTGTAAATGCTAAAGAAGATTAAGCGTCAACTGGAATTCGGAAAGCAAGATCAGAAGTGCATTTCCAGGTCACCTGACTCAACATCCAGTACAGTCACTAAAACTGCACAACACTGTGGCAAAGCTGAACACAGGCCCTTGGGGCCTTATCCACAGGCACCTGCTGCTTTAAGGTGGGAAAGCCAGCAGGGTGTGGTGGAGTGACTTTAATCCCAGCACTCTAGGTGCAGAAGTAGCTGGACGGTGAGCTAGTAACGGTATCAACCTGAGCTATAGAGTGAGAACTTATGATGAAAAATGCCTACAGTATATCCTAAATGAAGACATACCTTGAATAGCTGGGGGACAGATGATCAGGGTCTGATGAAAAGCATCACCACAACCAAACTGCGCAGTCCCCGCCTGCAGAGGTATGCCATGGTGCACGACCGAGTGAGCAGATGTGGTTAACGCCTGAAACACCCAATGCGTGTCCATTACCCAGGGCAGTCCCTCAAGAGCTTCACACACACTGGAGAGCCACACAGACTTTTTTTTTTCATGTGCATTGTGTTTTTTCTACTTGTATGTCTGTGTGAGGGAGTCAGCTCCTCTGGAACTGGAGTTACAGACAGGTGTGAGCTGCTGTGTGGTTACTGGGAATTAAACCTGGGTCCTCAGGAAGTAGTCAATGCTCTTAACTTAATCACTGAGCCATCTCTCCCGCCCCATACATACTCTTAAAAAAATTTGCAATTCTGCAGTAAAAATTAGCCCAGAAAATAAAACAAAAAGCAGATTAATCAACTTAAATTGGGTTTACTGAACTCTACTTTTGATAAGCATTATGGTCCTAAAAGCAGAGAATGGTTGAGAAGGCTCATTCTACTTGGTGTAGACAGGACACAACAGCCACGGCACACGTGGTACAGCTGCTGTTCACATGATGCTCACACCTCAAAGCAAAGTGACCAACAAAAACACCTTTCATAAAGTAGCAACTGCAATTCTCACCTGACTTCTCAATGTTCCAACTTTAGTAAAGTTTGCCGCTAGAGCAGCAGTGCCATTGGATGCGACTGGTCGTAAGAGTGACATTTTGCTGTGGTTATTTGTTTCACATGAACTCGGAGACTTACAAACATCCATGATATGAAAACAGGACTTTACGCTGAAAAAATGAGAAAATATTGTAAAATTATTTAAAATGTTTAATTTAAGATTAATGATACTAGCCGGGCGGTGGTGACGCACGCCTTTAATCCCAGCACTTGGGAGGCAGAGGCAGGTGGATTTCTGAGTTCGAGGCCAGCCTGGTGAGTTCCAGGACAGCCAGAGCTACACAGAGAAACCCTGTCTCGAAAAACCAAAAAAAAAAAAAAAGATTAATGAAACTAACAGATTAAAACTGTATGGAACAGACTAAATTCTACAATTTGTACTTTATTTTGCATACTTTTTCTATTAGCAGTTTCTACAAGAAAAATACCAAAGCAAATATATATTATGGTGGTAAAAACTCAAGAGGCCAAAGCAGTATTACACACTTTAATTAGAACACAATTTAATAATCTCTACCATATATAATTTTTCCTAAATTTTAATATACAAATCACTAAATTAATGGTACAAAGAATGTCATTATGATGTTATTTTCAAACTGATTATTTATGGAAATCCATAGAATATCTACAGTCTTTAAGAAAGATATACGTGGGTTTTATAAAAAATACTAATACAAGGACATTTCACAATAATGAATATTGATTCATTCACACATTAATTTTCTTTACTATTTTTAAAATAGTAAATAAGATGCTTTAAGTCGTGAGGGAGTGTTTATCGGTGTTTAAAGTGTGGGTTTGCTGTAGCACACATATGAACCACTCACTACATTCCACTCTTACCCCTGTCCCTCCCCTCTCTCCCATGTCCCTCCCTGGGTCCTCTAGTCCTCCAGAACAGGCCTTTTGTCCGCTCTGGTGTCACATGATTCTACTTTGCCAACCCAGAAAGACCAGGTCTGTGAGACAAAACATCACAAGTCTGGCCTAAAGTAGTGACAAGGCCTGCAGAATGTGAGCATACCTGCTGCCTTGCTAACCCATCAAAGTCTTTCCTTCTAGAATTCCAAGGAGCAAAAGGAGGAGGAAGAAGTCAAAAGATGTATTAGGAAATCAAACAACAGAGCTATAGGTCTCAAAGAAGACAGAACATAGGGAGGGCCAGTGAAAATGGAGATGAAACTTGAGGGTGAGCCTCCATATTCTTTCCCACAGTGCACTGTTCCAGCAGGAACTCCTTGCCTGCTCGCTCTTGTGTGCAGTGTGACTCTTGGGAGTCGGGAGGTGAAAGGGTCTTCCTATCTGTGTTCTAATTCTACTCAGCCACTTACTAGTCTATGCAACCTCAGCCAAGTTAGCTCAGTCTCTTAAGATTTGGTTGATTAGTATATAGTGAAGATAATGATTTCATTATGACTACCACTATTTTTTAAAACCATTATAAAAGATTATAAAGTGACATACTGGTTGCTGTGAGGAAAATCTAGCAGATGCTTCATGTTAACGAATGGGTGGCTCAGAGTCTCAACTGGAGTAATTCTCAAATCTGCGTCAATCAGCAACATTTTCTTCAACAGACTAACAAATTCTCTTCTATCAGCTTTCTCAGCCAAGAGATCACTTCCTTCCAAGTCCATCACTGTGTTCACCTATAACAGCAAAGTTTGAAGCTATCAAATAAAATAAGCCATTGAAAGAAAGAAGAGCCTGTAAAAATTTCACATCTTTAAAAAAAAAAAAAAAAGAACGGTGAACTAAAAATGAACTTTTTGTTTCATTTGAAACAAAAAGAACTGAAATTCATAAATCTACAAATCTTCTTAAGTAACAAACAAGATTCAAAGTGGAAAAGAAAAATTTATTATTATTGCATGAGTGAATAAGTGTGTATGTTTGTATATGTATTTCTAGGTGAGTGTATGTGTGTGTAACTGTGTTAAGTATGTATGTGTATGTCTCTGTCTGTCGGTCTCTATCTCGGTATGACTCTGTATGTTATGTACCTATGTATATGGATCTGTCTCTGTGTCTTGTGTTGAAAGTGTATGCATGTGAGTGAGTATAAGTGTGTTTGTGTGTATGTATACATGTGGCCACCTTTATGGAGTGGGTTTTGTCCTTCCACCTTTAAATGTGTTCCAGGAACAGAATTAAGGTCACCAGGCTTACATGGCCAATGCTTCTTTCCCATGGAGCCATCTCACCAGCCCAAATGTTTAATAAACAAAGACCTATTCCTACCAAGACAAGAAAATAAGTCTTCCTGTTAGTTTTGCTCTTGAAGACCAAAAAAAAAAAAAAAAAAAAAAGAAGGAGAAGGAAGAAGAGGAAGAAGAAGAAAAGGAAGAGGAAGAAGAAAGCAAAAGAGAAAAAAAAAAAGAAAACCTCTTTTAGAAAATTTGCAGAGTAGGGCAGTGGTGGCACACACCTTTAATCCCACCACTTGGGAGGCAGAGGCAGGCGGATTTCTGAGTTCCAGGACAGCCTGGTCTACAGAGTGAGTTCCAGGACAGCCAGGGCTACACAGAGAATCCCTGTATCAAAAAATAAAAATAAATAAAAATAAATAAAAAAAAAAGAAAGAAAGAAAGAAAGAAAAGAAAATTTGCACAGGCAAATTTAAAACGTAACAAAAACAAAATCAGGCCATGAATGTTTGAAAATGTTGAGTTAACTCTCTTTGAAACAGTCAGACTGGGCTGGAGAGATGGCTCAGCGGTTAAGAGCACTGACTGCTCTTCCAGAGGTCCTGAGTTCAAATCCCAGCAACCACATGGTGGCTCACAACCATCTGTAATGAGATCTGATGCCCTCTTCTGGTGTGTCCGAAGACAGCTACAGTGTATTCATATATAATAATAAATATTTTAAAAAAAAAAAAAAAAAAAAGAAACAGTCAGACTTAGAGATGACGACTACGGTGTTCAAGGATCGTCTTCAGTACACAAGCTTACAGCTAACTTCAATACTCACATGCACTATATCATCCAGACTGTTGAAGATGTACTTTCTGGCCTCTTTAGACTTCATTCCTGTCTCTGCCTCATGCTCTTCCAGTGTCTTATTACATACATCAAAGAGAAAATAACATATTACTATGCACCATATACCTATTTCTAGCCCTTTACACCTGACACATTTAGCCTAATGCCAGATATAGTAGTTTCAAAAGGTTAACAAGTAAAAAATTTATTTTATACTACAAATTAATTAATAAATATGAAGCCAGGAATAGTGTGCACTTATATAAGCCCAGTCCTCAGGAGGCTGAGATAGGAGGATAAAGTTAGAGGTCAGCCTGGGCTACATAGCGAATCCCTGTTGTACTGGTTAGTTTGTCAACTTCATACATGTTAGAGTCATCTTAGAAGAGGGAACCTCAGTTGAGAAAACATCTCTCTCAGAGGTCTACAGGCAAGACTATAAGAGTAATGATTGATGTAGGAGGTCCCAATCCACTGTGGGAGGGCCCAGCTCACGGTACAGGACCACACCTGGACATGTAGTCAGAGGTGGTACAAGAAAGCAAGTGGACGGGCTGGAGAAACAGCTCAGTGGTCAAGAACACTTGCTGGTACAGAGGATAAAGCTCTATTTCCCAGAATCTGCATGGTAGCTAACAAGCATCTATAACCCCAGTCCCAGAATATCTGGCATCCTCTTTGGCCTCTGAGAGTACCAAGCACACATGTGGTACACATACATACATGCAAGCAAAACACACATAAAAAGCAAAATAATCAAAAATATTATTTGGTTTTTTTTTTAAGATCTTTTTTAATTTAATGTATATGAATGCATTGTCATGTACACCAGAAGAGGGCATCGGATTCCACTATGGTTGTGAGCCACCATGTGGTTCTGGGAATTGAACTCAGGACCTCTGGAAGAGCAGTCAGTGCTATTAACCGCTGAGCCATCTCTCCAGCCCATAAACATTTTTTAAGGAATGGAAGGTTTTATCTATAAGAGGCATCTTGGTAAACTGTTTAATAAATATATTTTTTGGGAATTACCTTTAACCTCCAACCAGAATGAGACATATCTGTTTCTCTGCAAAAAAATCTTGTGGATTTTGTACCCACATTCAACAATTGTTCTCCTGGTAAACCTTGAGTCTGAGAAATGTATCGGATCTGAAAAAATAATTTAAAAACAAATTTATTCTTTCATATGACAGGCATTAATTGAACATTTTATCAGCAACTATATGATACCATCTATGTCCTCAATAAATTCACATAAAAAAGGAATCTGCAGTGTTTTAAGTCTAAAATAAATATAGTCAGAGTTCCCTGATAGATGCTTGATGCATACTATATGTAAATTATTAATGTAATATAAAATATTAAGATTCTATATAAATCAAGAAAGGAAACCACCATGCTCAAAGCCTGGAAGTACAGATATTCACTAAGGGAGAAATAATAAGAGATCAAATATCCATTGGGGGTAAGGAGAGACGATACTGGAGGTTTGAACCTATGGCCTCATACATGCCAGGCAAGTGCTCTACCACTGAGCTATTCCCAGACAGTAACTTAGTAGGAAGGAAAAAGAGGGATTCGAATTGATAGACTAGATGAGTTATTCTGGGGAAATGCAGACAGTGCCTTGATGACATGTGAGAAAGTGACAAGGTTACAGATGCATCCTCCCAAGAGAGGATGAGCCACAGGGCCTCTCAACTTCATGTCTTCATCTGGAATACCTGTCCTAAGTGTCACACGGCACTCTTCCTTCAGGTCTGGGCTCTAATATCACCTTATTCATCATGCCTTCTAAGCCTAAGCAACAGTTAACTCTGTCTCTCCCAGCAACCCCTGTTCTCCCAGCTAGATTTTCCCCCATCATGCTTGTCACCATCTGGTATACTACTAGCCTTTTTCTTTCCATCGTCTTATGTGACTCTGCAGTTCCCAACATCCATGACAGCGCCTGGTACACATTATTAAACAGCGGTTCCCACACTCCATGACTATGTATTAAAAAAGGCATAAGCTTTAAAGGGGGAAATGTAACTTAGGACCAAAACTAGTCCCCATCTTCCTTCTTTACAGTTTAATCTTAGACTCTGCTTTACCAAGCAGTCCACCATTTCCTTCATCTTCTAGGTCTTTTCTCTATTAACTCTTTCCTCTCAGATTAAGAAAAACCCCATTATCTTCTAGCCTCAAAAATAAAAATAAAAAATGTGTCCCTCTTTGCTGCTTTTAAGCAGGCCTTTCCTTAATTTCTTTTTGGAAGAGGGTGTTCAGAGTGTTGTCAGGGAGCACAGACTGGCCTCAAATGCAAAGGTCATCCTGTGGTGGTCCCCAGAGTTCTAGAACTGTACGTATGTCACCACATCTGTCTCCATTTTGCTCTCCGACTTCCAGCCTGTTACTTAAATTGTGGTCATTCAACTGGGCATGGTGGTACATGCCTTTGATCCCAGTACTTGAGAAGCAGTGGCAGGTAGATCTTTGTGAGTTCAAGTTCATCCTGGTCTACAGAGTGAGTTCCAGCCGGGGAGTGGTGGCACACACCTTTGATCCCAGTACTTGGGAGGCAGAGGCAGGTGGATTTCTGAGTTCAAGGTCAGCCTGGTCTACAGAGTGAGTTCCAGGACAGCCAGGGCTACACAGAGAAACCCTGTCTCAAAAAAACAAACAAACAAACAAACAAAAAAAAGACAACTTCTGTTATTAAAGCCTTTATAAATATCAAAAGCAAAACAGAAAGTAAGGACTATTTTACTAGTCACAGTAGTTCACACTCAGCACTTGGAAGGCTGAAGTAGCCTCAGATGCCTCTGGGGTGGGGTGGGAATTACACAATAAAAATGCTACCATTTCAAGACAAAATGATACAGTACCATGGGTTGTTCCTTCTCTGGAACCCAAATCTTAGGACAGGGCAGCAGGGCTGGCTGGGGTACTGGAGAAACTACTGCAGATTGAAAAAAGCCCTTCTCTCCAGGCCTAGACTGACACCATCAGCCTGAGAATGGAGCCCAGAGGTGGCCATTACAAAAAAGGGCAGCAGTAAGAAAGAGCAGGTTTGCTTGTACCCTTTACCTATTCATCCTTTCTCGAGATTACTTTGAGAGAATCATTACCCATCAGGCATATGTAATGTCTTCTGAAAACTATGCTAGTTTAGCTTTTTATTTTGCTTTAAGATGTGTCTCTGTGTGTGGTGTGTTTTATGCATGCTTGTTTAAATGTGTATGGTAGCCTGTATGCTGTGGGGACAATCATATTCATGTATGTTTCCAGATGTGTAATGAACCAACAATAAGGCTGTATGTTCTCTGCAATTGCTCTCCACTTACTCACTGAGGCAAGGTCTCTCAATTGAACCCAGAGTTTTGCAGATACAGCTCTTGTCCCTGTCTTCTGAATTTGGAATTATGCCTACCCAACTTCATGGAATCTGGGGATCCAAACTCTAGACCTCACATGCACAAGAGCTGCAAGCCCACTGAGCTATCTCCCCAGCCACTTTTCTGTAATCTAGACTCCTCATCTGAAAACAGACAGGGAAGTATCCCGGAGACGTTATGAAAGAAATGTAAAGTGTTATAAGAGTAGTTCCTGGGCCAGGAACTCAGTTAGTATTAGTTAAGAATATTACTATTGCCCACTGCCAGTTTAAGATAAAAAATAGTAATAATGTTTATTTTAAAGACAGTACACCACGGCTAAGGCTAGAATTCAGTAGTAGAACACTTAATTCAACCTTGGGCATTGGGGGTGAGTTTTTAGTCGGACATAATGGCACACAATTATCATCTTAGCCCTTTGGAGATAGAACCAGGAGAGTCAGGAGTTCAAGGTCATCCTCAGTTTCAAAGAGAACTTGAAGCCATTCGAAGCTGCCTGAGACCCTATTCCAAAGAAACAAAGAACTTGGTACTTATTTGGAGTACTTAAGTGTACAGAGGCAACTGATTCCTGGAAAGAGGGACCAGATGAGAGAGAGAAGTACATTTGCTAGAGACCTAGTGCATCCTAAGTTAGGTGATCATACTCTAAGGAGATCAATGGAATCTGTGAAAAGTAAATACTAACGTTTGTAAAACAGAGTTCACTTTTGCTAGATAGTCTCAACACTCAGGAGGCTGAGGTAAGAGTATTAAAGTTTTGTTGCTGTTGTTTTTAAGAGTACTAAAGTTCAAGGACAGCATGAGCCGCCTAGTGAATTCCAGGCCATCCTGTGCTAGAGTGTGAAATACTATCTCAAAAGGGTGAAAACCTTCGTAAGATTTAAGAACAAAGTAAAGATACACAGGATTAACTTGCACATGTATTTTAAAAATAACTTCAAAACCTGAATGACAACTATAATTGGTGCCTTGTGATGATGACTTTCTTTTTGTTCCTTTGGAAGAACACACATAATACAGATGTGTATCTAAAAAAATTGTTCATCTAAACCAGGTAACATATGTTCCAAGTTTGGTTTGGTTCCTCCTACAAATTAGTCAAATCAAGTTTGGGTAGGTTTTTGTTTTTAAAATTACTGTTGTGACCTAATAATTCTGTTCATGTGGAGATGGAGAATTTCATTTTCTCTCCCTCATATAAAGGAGGGAGCAGAATAAGTCTTCTGATAAGACTAACATGAATTTCCCAAGGCACTGTCTAAATCCAGAGTGCGCCAGCAAGTCAACTTGACATTGCCACTAGATGGCGTCCTGCTCCACAGGAGCAACTACAATTAAGTTTCTAGCAGTTGACTGCGTTGGTGCTTCAGCAGCTTGGAATTATGGGACTCTGGTTAGACTACTGTGTCCTTCAGAACTAGCAATAGTCTAGCAGCTGCATCAAAGTTCAAAGTTGACTAAAAGCATACCAGAATAGAAAATGTGCAGAAATTGTTACATAAACTTTTAGAGGACTTCAGAACATAAAAGAGGAGAAAGAGACAATTTAGAAACCTGATCTAAAAGGTTCACTGGCAGAAAGTCACTGTAAATGATGAGACTAATGTCAATGATATCCTGTTGTGTTAATGATAAATTGAATCAACTCAGAATCATCTGTTTTATTTTGAATTATGTGTATATATGTGACTATATAATATGCATGTGTGTACAGATGCCAGTGGAGGGCAGTAGTAGGTGTAGCATCCTCTGGAGCTGGGATTACAGACAGTTGTGAACCATCTGATGTGGGGGGAGGAATAAAACTCTGGTCCTCTAGAAGAGCAGAACATGTCTCAACCACCGAGCCATCATTTCAGCCCCTCACATCCATTTTGATATTGAAAATCAACAATAAAAACCAGAATTAAGGACAGGCATAGCAGTGTATGCCTTTAATCCCAGCCCTTGGGAAGCAGATCTCTGTGAATTAATCCCACTGGGTCTGTGTAGTGGATTCCAGGACAGTCAGGGCTATATAGAGAGACCCTGTCTCAAAAAAAAAAAGAAAAATGACAAACAAGCCTGGGCAAAGTGACAGAGCCCTGACAGGGGACCACAAGGTTGAAGTGAGACTGAGCTACATACTGACGACAACCTGCCTCAAACAAAAAAATCTAAATACTATATTATCTAAATATTATATGGTATATAGAATGATGATTACTTCACAAAATTGGTTTCAAATCTGTAGATTGTAACTTAGCTTATAAAAATTTATCTGTGGTAGTTTAAATAAGATGTCTCCTAAAAGTTTCTGGCATTGGAATACTTGGTCTTCAGTAAGTGAATGTTTGGGGAGAATTAGGAGGCATGTGCGCTTGCTGGAGGAAGTATGTCAACAGGAGTGGACTTGGAACTTCAGAAGACTCTTGCTGGGTTGCACTAGCTCTCTCTGCTTCCTTGATTGTGGGCTGAGACGTGAGATCCCAGCTGCAGCTCCGGCCACTTGCTGCCTGCTGCCTCTGCTCTGCCATCATGGGCTCTTTCTGGAACTGTAACTCAAAATGAACTCCTCCTCCTCCTCCTCCTCCTCCAGTGGCCTTGGTCATGTTTTATCACAGCATTAGGAGAGTGAGCACTACGCTATCATGTTAGAAAAGAGCTTTTCAGACACCACCTAATGCTAAGTGAATTTAAATTTCTTAAGATACTAAGTTTTGACACTTCATGGAGATTTTCACATTTGTGTATGGAGAATCATGTAATGCTCTAAGACTAGAAATTATTCTTACTGTCTATCAACTCAAATCACTATGACCGTAGTTACCTGATCATACTCCAAGGCTCCCGGGTAGAGTGGCCATCCAAGGAATAGCTCTGCGATCACACAGCCCAATGACCACATGTCTATGGCTTCACAAAACGGCAACCCCAATATAATCTCTGGAGCTCTGGGGAAAAAGAAAAAAAGTCAGGTTCCTTTTCAGTTTAAATTACCTAATTTTATTTGACATTCTAAGAAAAGTTCTAAATGACAGGAAAATCATGTGTATAGTTATATCTCTAAGAACTTGTCAAACCCCAATCCTTAGCCCTAGGTAATGTGAAGGGACCACGAGCACAGCAGCTCCAGGGTGAAGTCTCCTCCCCGAGAGCCTTTCCCTTAACAGCATCTCTGTTGACGCTTGAAAAAAGAAAAGAAAAGAAAACAATACACACCTTGCTTTTCAAGCTACAGTAGATTAGAAATAATGCACGAAAGCTGACAAAAAAATTAAACATTTATGATATCAAAAGAACTGAAAAACAGGCAGTCAAAGTTAAGACCAACTGAAGCTGATAGTTGGTCTATACCTCCATGTGACTTCAGAACCTAACAGTACTGAACAGCCACAGAGCTGGGTCCTTACTTATCCTTAGAGACTAGTGCAGTGTATTCACTTTTAAAAGCTAAAAGTATGGGCTAGATAGATGGCTCCATAGTTAAGAATACTGCCTGCTCTTCCATAGTTCGATTATCAGCACCCACATGGCAGTCACAACTGTGACTCCAGAACTCTACTTCCAGAGTGTCCTCAACCAGCACCAGGCACACATATGGTACAGACTTACATGTAGGCAAAACACCAATACATACCAATAGAAAGTTTGTTTAAAAGTATGGTTTAAGATAGAACAGCTAAAATGCATCTTAGCACTTACAACTCTTCAGTTATTTGGAAAAATATGTCATTCTCAGATCATTATGCTACTACGTCATGTGGCTTTCTTATGAGGAGTCTAATGTGGCAGGAGCCTCCATCCACTTTCTCAAGAGAACTAGCATGCTATACGAGGGTCTCCACACACAGCTGTATAGCTGCACGAAGTTATCTATCCTAGGTCTGTGGTCATATGCATGTTTAACTTTCAAGGACAGAACAATGAATATTTTCCCCTAAAAGATTGGAGAATAACTGGTCATGCTGCCTTATTCTCTTTTTCTCCAACACAAATATTTTCCACTGCAGACATAAAGTATTCACAAACATCAGGAATTGAGCACTGAACATTTCTACCATCTAAGCCTCGGACCCTATTGCACATTGGCTAATTGTATTAATAATGTTGGGTAAATCAAACAGCTCAGCAGGTAAATAGGCCACCAACCAGGCAAACTGAGTTCAGTCCCAGGAATCCATACTCCACGTGGGAAGACGAGAGAAGGAACTCCAGGGAGCATCCTCTGACCTCCACGCTGGCTATGTGGTGCACAAGTGCACACCATATATCTCCTCTCTCTCCCTTCCTCCCTCCCTCTCCCTCTCTCTCTTGTTCTCGCGCTCTCACGCTCTCGCTCTCGCTCTCTCTGTGTAAATAATATGTACTAATAATGTCCTTTCTGGTAAAAGGGACAATTCAGGTACTTGCAGAAATGTCCCTGAGTGAAGATTTGTCTGGAGGCTCCACAACAGCCAGTTTGTGTTATAAATCTGATATGAGAATGCTGTTTTCTCATCACACTTATGGATGGCATACAGTTTTACTACATTTCATTACTAATTTTCATTCTCATCAACTGACTAATGTGATGTTACCTTCTTCCTCTTCCATTGTAATTAAGTTATTCTGTAAAGCTTCTATTATACATTAGAGTCAGGTATGGTGTGCACTCTTAAGACTGAGGCAGGACCACAAACTGAGGCTAGACTGAGCTATATACAGCAAGACCTTGCTCAAAAGAATAAATAACCTTTAAACCTACTCATGTATTTCCCTCTATGAATATAAATTCGTAAATTCCCATTTATTCAGTAGACTATAATTCATTGTTGTAATTGGCCACTTGAACTGCCTCAGAGTGCATTCATTCACCATGGCCTCTTGCTTTCACCAAGCTCTGGAATAACAAGACATTCAAGACTCAGGTTGTTCTTTTCTTCTTACAGCCCTAGAAGTAGCCATTTCTCTTAAGAACACCTGGTGTTTCTTTTAGTAGAAAACAGTACAATGAAATATATAATAACATAATAATAAAAACATGGCAAATCTAATCACCAAGTAGAACACTAATGTGACCAAATTATTTCTACTTAGCCATTAATATGTTTTTCAAATTTCTCATACAATATATTTAGATGGTATTCTTTTTCTGCCTCCAAGTCCTCCTGGATCGCATTCATACAACTAACTTATTTTTCTTGGAAGGAAGGAAGGAAAAAAAGAAGAGAAAAAAAACCATGGAGTCTGATTTGACCAATTCCTTCTGGACATGGGCATCCCCAGAATGTGGTCAGCATGCTCAGTGTCACTCCAGGGTAGAAACACGTTTTCCCTCTTCCATTCACTACAAGTTACAAACAGCTTCTTCACTCAGGATAGGACTTTCTGCCCACCATTTCCTTTCTCCAAGCAAGGAATGTGTCTGGCTTGAACATTTGCAGGTCCTGTGCTTGCTGCCACGGTCTCTTGAGTTCACCTGAGTACCAGCCCTATTGTGTTTGGAAAACACTGCTTCCTTGATGTCATTCACCATGGCGTACATTTGCTATGTACATCATCACATGTAAAAGTGGGGAAGCAACATGGTAAAGCACCTACAGTCTAGACGAACCTGACAAAGAAACAAGGCTTCTACTAGCTGCTCTTGCAATAGAAAATAAACACCTCTAATCCATTTTGGGAGGCTTAAGCAAGAGGACTGTAATGAAGTGAAGGCCAGTGCGGACTACATGAGGAATCCCAGGTCACTTTAAGCTACAGAGACCCGGTCTCAAAACCCAAACTTTAAAGCTTATACATTATTAAAAACACTACAAAGTCACTGTAGGAATTAAAATTGTTTCCGATTCCTTCACCAGCTTGGGAAATACACGTCTGTATAAACAGACTTCTGTATACACTGATATCATCTGTGTGTTATACATAGACAAGGCACAAATTAAATAAGTGTATTCAATGAACAGACCAACTGTGTCTGAAGGCTCCCTTTGTAAGTAACTCCACAGTTCCAAAGCTTAGATCTCACGGTAAAGTATATCTATATATAAAATGATGTTTCTTTTTCTGCCGTGTGTTTTTAGTCAGGTCTATTGATGTTCATTACAAATATTTTCTGTCTTTCTAAAAAACTTGAAACACTGTTATAAAACACAGCTTAACAGTGAAAATTGGCAAGTTGAAAGGAAATTTTCTTCAGAGAGAACAGAACTCTGAATGGACTGGTAGACTACTGATAGAGTACTGGAAGGGGATGCTCGGGATTCTTCAAATAAGAATGCAGTGAAGTAAGAGTCACTCAGAAAAGATGGCTATTAATGGAACATCTCGGGGTTTTTGTTCCATTTTTACCTACTTGCTCAAGTCAAATGTTGAATAACTAGAAAAAGAATCCCATCCCTGTTAAGGAAAGTGCTGTCTTGGTTTAGGAACTCGCTATGTCCAGTTCTAGAAACAATTATACCTATAATAGGCAGGTACCATGGATTATCACTGGAAATGCCATTAAACTATGAATTTGTATTTGTGGTGTATTCATCAAGAAGTACTGAACTATGGAGGTAGCTTAACCCTAGAAGGCTTTCCTAGCAAGTATGAGGTCCTGGGGTGCAAGAGAGGAATAGAGTAGGGAGGAAAACTGGTCACAAGATGTCTCCCACTAGAGTGATTTTACTAGCAGAGATTACAAGTATCTGATCTTCATTTCTTCGTGTTGATGAAGTAAATGTAATGCTGACGTGCTAGGCCTCAGACTTAACCCCAGGCCACGATGACTTCTTCAACATAAAAGTGATGACTGTTACTGACATCACTAAAAGGCAGGTGCTGCTCTATGCTGCTTCATGATAATCCAAGAGTGCTTGTGCATCTTTGACAGGATAAAGACAACTATGATATACAACACCGACTTCTACAAGATAAAAAAAAATTATTCATTTTTGTGAACAGTAAAACTGATCAATCCAAAGGTCTTCTAAGATAGAGGTAGGTGTGGGAGAGGTTTTAAGAACAAACAATGACAAAAAAACAGACAAGACAGGCACAGTGGGAGAGAAGAGGGCCTGCAATCCCTGCACCCTGCACTCCAGAGGCTGAGGCAGGAAGAGGGAGGTGGAGGATTCCAGACCAGCTTGGACCACATAACAAGCCCCAAGTCAGCCTACCTCAAAATGTAAAAAGTAGTTATTAATAAAATAAGAGATTTACTAAGTTACTTCACATGCACATGCCCTGTTTAAATAGCACTGCTCTGAGGAGTTCTGAAACAGTCACAGAACTGTGCAACCATTAAAGCACTCAGTTTTTAGGACAGAGGCATAATGTTCTCAGTAACCAATCACATTGCACTGTGCTCCACTTCATTACCTCTTGTGCCTAGCTTCCAACTCTGAACATCGACCTTCTCTTTCTACATTTACTTTCCCCAAGGAATCACAACAAACTGATCGCCTGCATTCTGTAGCCTGTATTAAAAAGAGTCTGGGGCCGTGGTGACGCACACCTTTGATCCCAGCACTTGGGAGGCAGAGGCAGGCAGATTTCTGAGTTCGAGGCCAGCCTGGTCTACAGTGTGAGTTCCAGGACAGCCAAGGCTACACAGAGAAACCCTGTCTTGAAAAACCAAGAGTCTGACTATGTAGTCCTGGCTAGCTTCCATTTTGCTATGCAGTCCAGAGTGGCCTGCATGAAACTCAGAGATCTGCCTCTACCTCCTAAGTTCTGGAACTAAAGGTATGGGTCATCCCAACCAGCTATTGTTTATGCAGTATATTCTTAGTATTTCTTTTTTATTGCTAAACAGTACCTAACCCATCGCATACATTTTAGGTGACCAATTATCAGATGATGGGGATAATCTGTGTATACTTCTTGACAACTTAATTTAAATGATTGAGTACTAATTTAGCTCATTGATAGAGCACTTAACTAACATGTGCAAAGTCCAGGCTTGATGTCCAGCAGAGAAAGAGAA